CTTGTATGTGGGAGGCCCTTAGTTTTATACCTACAACTGCACAGTGTGTGTGTGTGTGTGTGTGTGTGTGTGTGTGTGTGTGTGTGTGTGTGTGTAAAACAGAGAGAGGCAGGGAGAGAGACAGAGAATCATAACCAGACTCAGACATGGCAAAGACGGCATTACTGAATCAGGAATTTAATATTACTAGGATTAGTATTCTAAGGGTTCTAATGGAAAGAACAGGCTACACATAACCCTAATGCTGAGGTGTTCAGGGGAGATGGTTGACCCCTGAGGCTCACTGGTCAGCTATCCTAACCAACCAATGAGCTCCAGATCCAGTAGGAGATCCTGTCTCAAAAACTAAGATGAAGAGAGATGAGGAGACACCTAACACTGCCCTCAGACCTCCATACACACCTGTAAATACACATACATACCCCTGCACAAGCCAGGACACATGAGTACATACATACAACACACACATACCCCACGCACATCTAGACACAACCCTATTTGTTTCACCAATAAATTAGCCCCTGCTGGGCATGGCAGCAAGTGGCTCTAGTCCCCCATTTGGGGTGGAAGCAGGAGGCTCAAGGTCATTCTCTGCTACCTAGAAAGTTTGAGACCAGACTGGGCTACATGCAACTTTGTCTCAACAAAAACAACAAAAATGGATCCTCAGTGGATCCCAGTGAAAATTTAACCCCCAGTGGATTACAGATCTAAATGCAAAATACAAAACTATACAACTTCTGGAAGAAAACACAAAGAAAAAACTCTGGGTAACCTTGTGCTTGCAATGAGTTTATAGATACAAAAATATGATCCGTGGAGGAAAACAAAAGGTAAGTTTTAGTTCATTAAACTAAAAAATTCCTGCCCTGGGAAGCTACTGCTAGGAGAGTGGAAACCAAGCCAGAGAAGAAGACAACCTGCAAAACACCCATCCGATACAGACAGGCATGCTGGATCTACAGAGAAGCCCAACATTCGAGGGCAAGAAACAAACAACCCAATTTAAAATGGATAAGAAAGAAAAGAAACAAAAGAACAGGTTGTGTGTGTGTGTGTGTGTTGGCGGGTTATGGCTCAGCAGCTAAGAGCATTGCTACTCTTGCAAAGGACCCAGGTTTGGTTCCCAGGACTCACATGGTGGTGGATAACCATCCACAGCTTCAGTCCCAAGGATCTGAGGGCCTCTTCTGGCCTTCACGGGCACCAGGTACATGTGTGACATACATACATGCATGCAGACAACACACAGGGAATAAAAATAAATCCTTTTTTTAAGGGAAGAAAAGAAAATTGACACTTGTGATAAAGAAACACATGATAAATGAGACTGTGAAAAGGTCTCATTAGGGAACTGTAAATTAAGACAGTAATGAGAACCAAAGCACACTAATCTCAGTGGCTAAAATCTAGAAAACAAATCAACTAAAGTCTGCCATACCAGATACAAGCATGCTCAGGAAGAAGCACTCTTGCTTGCTGGTGTAATATAAAACATGTGGCCACCTTGAAAGATACTTCCATAGCTTCTTAAAAAGTCAGACATGGCTTTGGGGCTAGGGAGATGGCCTCGTCCGTAAAGTGTTTATAGAACAAGTATGGTGACCTGAGTTCAGATCCCTAGGACCCATGTGATAACCCAGACACAGCAGGACATATTATTAATCCTAGGACTCTGGAGAGAGAAACAGGAGGATTCCTGGAGCTCATTGGTCAGCCAGCCTAGATGAATCAGTGGGTGGCAGCTTCAATGAGAGATAGAGAGAGAGAGAGAGAGAGAGAGAGAGAGAGAGAGAGAGAGCGAGAGAGAGAGAGAGAGAGAGAGAGAGAGGATGATTGAAGAAGACATGCTGGGCTGGAGAGATGGCTCAGTGGTTAAGAGCCACAGAAAGGAAAGCAATGGGAAGGAAGCCAGTAAGCAGTATTCCTTCACCGTGTCTGCTTCAGTTCCTCCCTCCAGCTTTCTGTCTTGACTTCCTTCAATGATGAACTATAATGTGGAAGTGTAAGACTGATAGAGTCCTTCCTTTCCAGGTTGTGTTGGTCATGGAGTTTTATCTTGGCAGGAGAGCAGCAAACTGGAATACACATCATATTTCACCTTTGAATCTGTCAGTGGTGGCTTGCTGACCCCTGGCCTAGAATGCAGAGATGGCGAAAGGACTTAATCCATGCAACCCGTTAGCAGGCACCAGGGGAGGCCTGACAAAGAGCATGTCTGTTCACTCCACATACTGGTGATGTAACCTGTGGTGTAATCATTATAAGCCTCTAACCCATTAGGCCACTTTCTAGATGGGGGCATGAGACAGGGCTGTCACATTAAAGCTAGTGCAATCTCTGGATTAGACACTGGGCTTTGGTCCACTAAAGACAAATTCCCATGGGGTACTTGTGGCATTAAGAAACCCCTCCAGTATTCTAGTTCAGTGGTTTTCATTAAAATCCTTTTTAAAATGTTTAACATTACACAACACACTCTCAATCCTGTTCAAGTTAAAAGTCACTGTGTTTGGTTCAGGACATGTGATGAAGTCTGAGTCTTAAGAACAAATGTCTGTACAACCAAGGATGTCAATGAAAATGGCCCACAGACTGGGAGAAGCCCCTTACACCCTGGAACGTTTGTGCATATATACCCAATCTAAGCAAACAGTCACTTTACTCCGTGGTCTCAGCTGCCACATGGGAATATGGTCTGCATTGTCAGACAAGGCAGAGAAATGTGAGGGTTTTTTTAAGTTGGCAACTGGACTGGGGCTATAGTCAGTAGGACCCTTGCCAACGTGCATGATGTCTAGGGTTTGATATCAAGAACCCTATAAACTAGTATTGTGGCACAGACCTGTAATCCCAACCCTCAGAATCTGGAAACAGGAGGATCAGAAAATCAACTTCACCCTTAAGATGGAGGCCGCCCTGGGCTCTACGAGACAGAAAGGGCAGCAGTGGTGCAGGAGAGCTGGCTTGGTGCTTGTAGCACTCACTTGTCCTGTGCCTGTGAAGACTGGATTCTGCTTCTCAAACAACACTGAAATACCAGGTGAGACATGACTCCCCACCTCTAGTTCCTGCCTTGGAATGCAGAGGTAGGGGAGTCCCACAAATGACTGGTCTGGGAGAATCCCATACTGATAAGTTCTGGGTTTGATAGAAAAATCTTGCCTCAATGAAAAAGGTGGAAAATGATGGAGAATGATTCCCAACATCAAACTCAGCCCCTCCCTCCACACACACATACATACACGAAAAAGAAAAAAAAAAGTCAGCATCTGTACTGGATAGTTTTATGTCAACTTGACACAAGCTAGGGTCATCAGAGAGAAGGGAAGCTCAATTGGGAAAATGTCTCCCTTAGATCAGGCTGTGGGCAAGACTATAGGGCATTTTCTTAATCAGTGATTGATGGAAGGAGATGGTGCCATCCCTGGGCTGCAGGTCCTGGGTTCTATAAGAAAGCAGGTTAAGCCAGGCGGTGGTGGCACACGCCTTTAATCCCAGCAGTTGGGAGGCAGAGGCAGGCGGATCTCTGTGAGTTCGAGACCAGCCTGGTCTACAGAGCAAGTTCCAGGACAGGCTCCAAAACCACAGAGAAACCCTGTCTTGAAAAACCAAAAAAAAAAAAAAAAAAAAAAAAAAAAAAAAGAAAGAAAGAAAGCAGGTTAAGCCAGTCAGTAAGCAGCAGCCTTCCACGCTTCTGCATCAGTTCCTGCCTCCAGGCCCCTGCCCTGTTTGAGTTCCTGTCCTGACTTCCTTTGATGATGAGTGATTTGGAAGTATAAGCCATATAAACCCTTTCCTCCCTAAGTCGCTTTGATCATGGTGTCTCATCACAGCAATAGAAACCCTAAGACAGCAATTATCTCAAACTGTTTATAGACACTGGCACAGTACATCGGGGGAATAGGACGCTACATAAATGAATTGGGGTGCTGAGGATCGCTAAGGACAGCTTCTGGGGAGCTCTGACTGTCACACTCATGGAACTCTAGGTTTGAGCCTACAGTTCCAGACACACTTAGAATGACATTGAAAAAAGATCACTTGGTACTTGATGGGGGCAGGGCTCAGAGTCAAGCGGTGAATTAGAAGTCTATCATTAAGTTAAATAAGGGAGAAATGACAAAAGCCTTTTTGTTCTTTCTCCTAGAGATTGTAAGCTTCAAGACAGCAGGGCGACCGTCTGTCTTGGCCCTTGCTGTATTCTCCAGCATTCGGAAAGCTGCCACACAGAAAGCGAAGAGTGCTGATAGTTATTTTGAAGGGCGAGGTTTAAGAGTCAACAGGCTTGCCTGGAGAATTAATACAATTCAGGTAATGGCGAAAACCGTCTAGGGAGACCCGGAGTTCTGCCTTTCAGGCTTTCTTATAAATGATATTTGGGGACCAGGGAATCTCAACGAAGAAAGGATGTACACGGGTTGTTTTTCTTAAAACCTTGAGGATATTCTGTTCCTGACACTTGATGTTGCTTCCTCGGTCTCGGGAAGGAACAGTAAGTTCCTTTTGAACTGAAAGAGGAATTAATTGAAAATGTAGGGCCGAGCCATTTCTGTTCTCCTTCGGTTACAAGCAATCCCTTAGCGCACAGCTAATAGAACTGCTAGCGACTCCGATCCCGTGAGGATTATTTTCAGGGTGGGGTGGAAACATATGACCCCGAACCTGGACCAAAAATGCTCCAAGCTTCTGAACCATCCGTCCTGGAGCTCGCCCTGTTCTCACACATCCCGGCCCTGGGGCGGTCACCTCAGCTCCGCCCTCTCTTCTTCCTCCTCTTCCTGCTCCCCCACCCCACTTCCTTTCTCTGCGTCCGCCCCCTCCGAGCTCCCACCAAGGCCCTGCGCCCTCCCACGACCGCTCCCTCTAGGCCCTTCGTGACTTCCCCTCCTCCCGGCTATCACCGCCCTTCTCGGGAGGACGGGGCAACCCCGTGCCTCGCTCACCCAATGAAAAGCCGACTCAGGGTGGGGCGGGACTTGGGCTAGAGCGGAAGTGGTGGCCGGAGCGGAAGTGCAGCTGCCGCCACCGCCGCCGCCGATTCCGGAGCCGGGTAGCCGCTGCCGCCGCCACAGCAGCTACGGTCGCCGCCACCGCCGCTGCCGCCACCACCGCCTGAGGAGTGGGCCTGGGAAAGACGTAGTCGCCGCCCTCCGAGCTTCCCGGAAGCGCCTTTTCTCCCTACAGTCCTCCACGGTGAGTGCGGCGCGGCTCCCAGGGGCCCCAACGCGAAGCCCCTTCTCGGGCGGCGGCTGCGGCCCGTCTCGCCACCGCCCCTCCCCGCTTCCGGCCGGGCCTGCGCCTCCGCGGGAAGCCCGGGCTTCTCTCTCGGAGGGCCGTACGGGTGCGGCCGGGCACGGCTGGGCACGGCTGGGCACGGCTGGGCTGCGGACTCCCCCCGGCAGCTCCTCTGCTCGGCGCCGCCCCTGCCTGCTCCCCTCGGGCCCGGAGCCATCCCTCTGGGCCTGTCAACCTCGTTCCTTTGTGGCTTTCAAAAACTGCAGTGTAGCCGAAGGCGAGCGAGTTCCCCCAAGCCGCGACGCCCCTGCTGCGCTCCCCTGGATGAGTAAGGGCTTAACCTTGGCGACAGCTGGGGCGAATCCCTCTCCCACTTTGCAGTAAAGCTGTTTCATCATCGCCGGTGTGGGAAACCCTGCTGGACCCGAGATTCTCTGACAGCAGGGTTGAGGTTTGAATCTAGAAATGGAATTGTCCGAATCGTTTTACTGACTCAAACTGGATTCCCAGTGGGGCGGGGGAAGATCAGGCTGAGAATTGAGGCTTCTCATGCTATTTGTCGTCATTTTACGGCCATAATCTCGTGTGTCTGCGCCCCGAATTCCTCCATACATTTTTTGTTTGTTGGTTTTGTCTTTTACTATTTGAAATTTGTCTGTTGGTGGGGAAGGAGTGGGCAGGATGTGGACCCTTCTCTTTCCAAGATGAGCGCATCTGGGTCTATTGCAAATGGAGAACTTGCGTGCAGGGAGGATTCCAAAGGTGGCAGCGTTTATGAGCATTTGCCAACCTCTCTGTAAAAATACGTCTTGTCCTTGCCTTCAGTACATTCTCTCTGGTAAGACCAGATATCTTTCGACCCCTGATTTTACATGTCTGGTGTGGGAGGTGGAATCTGCAAGATGCTGTGTGAGTCTGTGATATCACGGGCCAATGCAGAAAGGTGCAACCCTTAGGAGAATATGAAAATTATATTTCTCGCTGTATCTCAGGTGTTTCTGTGAAACCGCACACATACAGGGTATAGGACTGAACACGTGGTTACTCAGCGTTTTACATTTAGCTGCTGAGAAATTATTCAAATATTTGGCTCTTGGTGGATTTCTTTCTGACTGCCTCCACCCAGCTAGCCTCATTTCTTAGGTTTTTTAATTTTTTTTTTTTAGAATCAATGTTTTTAGTAGCATATAGCTGGAAAATATTGGTTATTTTTTTCTTCCCCACCCAAGTTAGAATTTTAAGCATGGCCTTAGAAATGGAAGACTGAAAATCCAGTACCAATTGCTAAATTATTTTTCCTACTTCTGCCTTCAAACAAGATGAGAAACCATTTACAAATGAAGTCTTTATGAGAAATGAGGTGATTGGCCTAAACCACACACCTACTTTCAGATTGAATATCCTCTCTCATCTGTGGCAAGTATTTATGGACTGTCAGCCCCAGGAGTATGGCTCTTACCCTGTTATCTTCTGTGCATTTCCCATCATGCAGTGCTTGTACTGTGTTGAAGCCATTTTAGACTTGGAGCTGTATGGATCAGGGAGGCAGCCTGTGTGAAACCAGGCCGAGCACATTCCCATGATGCTTGTTCCCTAGGCAGAGTCTCCAGAGATTTGGGCTGCTGCAAAAAAGTGCATTTTTTTCCCCACTTGGCTGTGGATCCAAAAACAGAGCGCTGAAGTTGATATTAGGTAAATTTGATTTGGTTCTTTCCCTGTACTGTTTCCTAGCAGTGATCATCTCTGGTTCTTAGCTTCCCTATCTCCACAGTTGTCTGAGACCCTTTGTAAACTCTAAGTTGTTAAATATAAGCCTTTGGTTTTGTTGCATTTTAATGATTGAGTTCACTTCTTTCTCCCTTTCTGATAAGACACAATCTTGTTTTGTCCACTTGCTATTAAAAATGATACATTATATAACTTTACATATAGCAAATCCAGTTTTTCTCATCTGTACTGTAAAATGTTCCCTCTTCCCCACCTCTGTGTACGTAGCCCAATCTAGTCTCAAGCTCACTGCTTCAGTCTTCTCTCTGCCTTAGGAGCTGGGGTTACAGGTGTGCACCTCTGTACTGGGCTGGCAATACAACATTTGGATGTGTGGTGGCAGACTGAATTCAAATAAGTTTCTGGGATGTTTATTTCTTAATACAAGTAAAATTAATAAAAATAAATTGAACATGAATGGATATATACTATGATTACTGTGATGTTTAATATATGTATATATTGTGTAATGTTTAAATAGCCTATCTCCTCAGACATGATTTTTGTTTTTAATTTTTCAAGACAGGGTTCCTCTGTAACAGCCCTGACTGTCCTGAAACTCACTCTGTAGACTAGGCTGGCCTTGAACTCACTCAGATCCACCTGCCTCTGCCTCCCGAGTGCTGGTATTAAAGGTGTGCACCACAATCGTCCTGCCAGACATGATTTCTTTGTGGTGAAAAATAAAGTCTTGTCTTTTATCCCATTGAGAAACACAGCACACAGGGTACATGTTAGTGTAGTCAGGGTACAGTGCACAGCACAGCTGAACTTGCAACACCTATGTAACATAGTGGCCATTGATCAGCCGTTATCTTTTAGAGTTATTATCAGATTTTGACTGTACGTGAGTCTACATTTAGATTAGGTATTGCATATGTGCCTGTAGACAAGTACAGAATCTACCCGCTGTGACTTAATCGATAGCCTCTAAGGATCATCGGGTTGAATGGATCACACTGTCCCCACTCGTAGCACTTCGTATGTGCCAGGCTTCCTCAGAAAGCACTTTAAGCATTATTTAGTCTTCAGCCAATGAAAGGTAAGTACTGTTAGCCTCATTGTATAGATGAGGAAACTGAAGTGGAGAAATTAAATTTTTTTTCAAGGAGACACATACATGTAGCACAGAATTTACCGCTAAAATCAGGAATTATGCCTAGGTCGTTTGACTCTGGGTAATGATTTGAACAACATATGTATTCTATGACCACCTTACTTTTTTGTACCTGCATCCTGTTAACGTGTTGAAGCTGTAATTTCATCTGTTCTTAAAGGCGTATGCAATGCTGTTCTCGTGTAGGGCAATATTGCTGGTGAAAGCTGCTGAAGAGTCCAGTGTTTGGGTACTTGCTTTCTGCTAGGGAGGAAGTCTGTCAGGTGCTCTGCAGAAAATCACCCTAGCGTCTGGTTTACTAGATTTTGGCTATAGCCATCATTTAGTGTTACTTATACCACTTTGTAGTGATTTAGGTTCTTATTTTGTCTGGGAGAAGAAAAAGAGAGTCTATCTCTTCCTGTAAGTAGGGAGACGCTACTAAGTTACTGCATCTGTAAAAACTGTGCTCCCTGCTCTTTCAGTGGCATCAGGCAAAAGCAGTTTTGTCAGCAAGGAACCTTAGAAACTATAACTTCTTTGTAAACTGAAGTTTAAAAGATCCTTGGTTGCCCCAGCATGACTTTGCCTTTAATCTCAGCACTTGGGAGGCAGGGACAGGCTGATCTTTATGAGTTTGAGGACAGTGTGATCTACATAGTGAGTTTTGGGATATCTAGCGCTACACAGCAAGACTCTGACTAAATAAATAAATAAATAAATAAATAAATAAATAAATAAGAGGATCCTTGCTTTATCCATTCACCTAAGGACATGAGAGTTCACACTAGAGGCCAGGAGAATATAGTTACATAATGACTCTTTAACTTTAGATCTGTCTTTACTACATGAAAAGGATTCTAGTAGACCTGTATTTCATAATGAGAAACAGTTGGAGGTAGACTCAGAGGGGATTTTCCTAAGGAGAACATTGAAGAGATACGGATTTAAAGTACTTTTCTGTTCTGTGATGGCTGCTTTCTGAAGGACAGTTAGATGTTTCTGATACTTGTAATGAGATGAAAGTGAGTGACAACCTCACAAAAGCAAGCTATTCTGGGAGATTGTAGGTAAATTTTTTTCCCCTTCAAGTTCTGGCCAGTTCTTGATTATGTAAGTTTTCCTATTGTGGTTGTTTATTTCATTGTTTTCCTTAAAGACTCAACTAGAAGAGTTATTTCTGAATGGCCATGACAAACAGATGAAAAGCCAAATGAATTAGCTATAAGCCTGATCTGTTATTGTTTGTCTTCATGAGGAGAGCCTAACACTAGAGCTCGTGTGAGAGTGAGTATAACGACTGTAATAAATTATTTTTTCATCACAATTCAGTTATACATCTAAGTGTTGGGAATCATACCTTATCTTAGAAGCATTTAACTTCAGAATTAAAGTTGAGGGGCTGGTGAAATGGCTTAGCTGTTAAAGGTGTTTGCCACCAAACCTGAGATTGAGGTTTGATCCTGGTACCCACATAGTGAAGGAGAGAACCATCTCCCTTAATTGTCTTCTGACTTCCATGGGCACACAAAAGAAATGTCAAGGGAGCTGGAGAGATGGCTCAGCGGTTAAGAGCACTGACTGCTCTTCCAGAGGTCCTGAGTTCAATTCCCAGCAACCACATGGTTGCTCACAGCCATCTATAATGAGATCTGGTGCCCTCTTCTGACCTACAAGCAGGATACTGAATAAATAAATAAATCTTTAAAAAAAAAAGAAATGTCAGTAACTTTTTAAATTAATATTGCGGACTCAGGAGACAGCTTTGTTGGTAAATGCTTACTATGCAAGCATAAGGATCTGTGTTTGGTCCTCAGCACCCACAGGAAAACATGTGTTGTGCATCTATAATCCCAGTTCTGGGAATGTGGAAACGAGAGTGCCTGGGGCTCTGTGGCTGGTTTGAGATAGATCTGTCTCAAATACAAAACATCACACCCCCAAGGATAGCTCCTGCAGAGTGACACTCAAAAATTGACCTGTGATTTCCACACATACATATTGAGCTAGATTCCTAGCTCTGCCCTGGATAGCTAGCTGTGTGACCCTGAGTAAGTTATTCTTTACATGTGTAAAAGGAGATGGTGCCACCTAT